TTTTATCATACGAGTAAAAAGTCTATTTAAATCAATTGGATGTAAAATTAAGTTATATAGAGAGTGTAATGCCTAAGATTGACCCGTCAAGTTCTAGTCCTGCAGCATTCTAAGGGCTCAGCAGGTTGTCGTACGGGATCACCGAATTTCTACCAGTATCAGTTATAGTGATGTTGAATTTTGTGCTGGAGGAACCAATTAAACAAGCAAGTATATAGTCTTAGTCTTGGTTTTATTTCACTTTATCAGAGTAGTGGTCCACACGAGGCAACATTTAACCAGTGTAAAAAATACTATGTACAAGTTTTTATGATGCCCCATTTTTGAAGACAGTAGAAATACCTGTACTGAAATTTTTCCTTTCGTCCCTTCCAAATTTCCAATAATTTAACACAAGCATAAGAAATAGTGAAGAATTCATTGAATGTTTCTTTGCGAGCTAGCTGTATCAACAGTGGCGCTAATTTTTCGAAAACAAACAATTATCATTACTGCTTTTCAGCCCTATTTTCGTCCTGTTCATGAATGTCGTCATTTCTCTCCAAACTCCTAAGAAAGTTATTGACTTTTTCTTGGAGGGTACAGTCCATGCCACTGACATGAAGTCCTAGGGGACTAACATTGCCTTCACAGCCGGGCGATATCTGCTCTATCCTATGTGGCATTTCCAGCTTAGGAAGATCGGTAGTCATGGTTACAGTCATTCGTGAGGATGTCACGCTGCTGTCACGTGATAACTGCAGAGGTATGATTTCCTCCTGTTGCACTATGGGAGTATGCTGTAGATTAGTGGGACAGGAGATTTTTCGGACTCCTCGTGAAGGCGATGAGCTGCGCGTTGCGTGCTGTTGGGAAATTTTTCTTCTGAAAAATAGGGGACTTGCAACGTGATTCATGGACTGAGCCGAATTTTTTCTCAGCCTCGGTGGAAAAGGATCGTTGATGGCGTTTCCCGTGTTGTGATATGCTGAAGTGCCGTTTATCATCTCGGCAGATCGCGTTTTACCGCGGTTGAATGCGGTATTAGGGTTGATCTGAAGCGAGCTTTGACTAGACGTCCTCCTTAACTGAGGACTTAGTTCAACGCTTATTGTAGGTGGATCGGCGACGGAAATTTTACGACGATGTCCCGAGGCAGCATTCGTTGAAGACGAAGAGTTGTCGGATGAGTTCGATAAGTGCTTTGATAGCGGTCGTTTTTGGGCCGATGACAGCTTTCTTGTCCAAGCCATTTCAGGTTGTTTTTTCGTCTTTCTTGAGCTTCTCCTGGTCATTTGCTGGTTGAGGCTGTTTATATCTGTTATAAAGACAATTAAGGTTGGTTATAATCTGCAAAGTCACAACTGTGGTAATTATAGAGTATAAATTAACTGAACCTGACAGGAGATATTGGCTCTTAGAAGAACCTTATTGCGTGAATAAGAGAGAATGATATTGAGGGACTCAACCGACAAATTAAAGGAATTAGATAAACAAGAAGCACGCGACATCCATATATACTCCCCACTATTTATTTTATTGTTAAATCACGTCTCCGTAAAACACCCTTACATGTATATGTCCCATCTACGCAAATGACGTGAACTCATTACAAAGCTGCAAGAAACTGGATTTTGAGTCAATGATTTGAGTCAATGATTTGAGGCGAGTTGTCTTTTGCGATATCCAGCTCAGTAAAATGGATAGGGAGTTTTTTCAACTTTCAGCAAGTCGAAGTAGTTTTTAAAATAATTATAGCCTTTGCCAGTCATTCAGATAGTAAGGGGGTTAACTGAAAACAAGGCACTCATGCGAAAATAAAAAGCGCGTGATCAGCGCCCGTGCGTCAGTTTTCGCATAAGTTTTTTCACGATCTCTGCTCATCACTGATCTTGGAGCCTGGAACAGGCTAAAATAAATAGGACTTTTTGGTTCGCGGAGAATTGAAACGAGCATTTGGATAGACTGTAAATGTTTGATCTTAATGTTTTGTTTGCCTTGTAATTCAAAATATGTTCTGTTTAAAATATCTGTAATTGTGCCCTCAGGCCACATGAGTCAGTGCAAACTTTCTACCTAACACAGTAATCACCTCAAACGCAGTGCTGTCAATTAGTTTTAGCCACCACTTTTTTCGCTTCATTTTATTCTTTTTAATAACCACTTAATCTCCTAGATTATTGAAAATGTGTATCAAATTTTGGATTGAAGTGTTTAAAAGAGATCTAATAGCGTGACCATTCAAATGAATCCGTTTTAGCAATACTTAAACATGGTACTATTTGTTTTTCAAGACGTTACAGAATGTAATTGACCTTTCCTGCGTTCTTGGGAACAAAGGTACTGACTTAGGCTTCCGCAAGCCTCAGCCTGAAGCCTTTTTGCCTTTTTATTGTGTGCTTGGTGAAGTGAAATAAGTAAAAAGTCTATTCGAAAATTTTCAATGAATTTGGTTTTTGGCTTTTTCAGTGCACTTTTGGAAGAAAAAGGCAAGTACTAGTCGTGACTTTGCGCGCTTCGATGAACACCACGCTTAAAAACCGCGAACGTGAGCATGGCAGACTTATGAAATCCGGCAGATCCGGTGCCTCGAGCAATTCCTTTTCAATGTTGTTCCACACCAAGAGATCTCACTGTTTTAAAATGACAGACTTTAAGGTTAAGAAATATATCACTGGATATATGACTACTGTAAGTCTGCTTAACTTTTTGGTGGTGGTTTTTTGACGCATTACCAGCAATATTTTCTATCTCAATTGTCACACTGCCTTGTCCGCAGGCTGGAAAAATGCTTACTTTTCTTTTCTTTTATTTAAGGTTATGAATGTAAATGGATTAACGGTACTTTTCTCCGTTATGTTTATTCGAAGCCCCGTCATTATCGTCTTTCATATTTATACACAACTTCCTGCAAGTCTTGTTCAGATAACAAGAATGTTCCAGACTCACAGATTGAGAATAACAGTCAAGTGCGCTCGCTGAACAAATGATCAAACTCTCGCAGATTCTTTTGCCTTTCTGCGCGCTTAACATTCAAATAAGAAGGGAAATAGCTAGTCCTTATATCCTACTAAAATGCGCGTTGTTTCTTCTTTTATCGACAAAGGTGTTTCACATTTCATCTTAAAACGTCGGCGATACAAACGATTGCAAATAATGGAATAATAATGTAGAATTTAGATCTCATTAATAAGCTTGTAGAAACGTGGTCTATGTTAACTCACCCTCTATTGTAACGTGCTCCAAAGGCGAATCTTTGACTTCCCCTGCAGGACTTCTTGTTGCTTCTTCAGTTTTATTTTGCGCTAAGCTTTCATCGTGTAGTTTAAAAGTCTTTGTGTTAACTGCAGTTGCAGGCCTCTTCCATTCGAGGACGTCTTTGTCTAACAAATATGCTTCTTTTGTTAGCAGGGGTGAGCGAATTATTGCTTGTTCTCTTAACGTATGGTGCAGGTCTTTGACTTCAGTTTGCAGTCGACTCAGCGCTCTCTTATGAGCTTTTTCCATAGAGTGTAAAGAAGTTTGCAGTAGTCTTTCTTCTCGATCGTTTAGCCAACGGACATTATTTCCTCCTTGGCTAAGATTCATCTCCCGAAGAGTTACTTTTCCATGATTTGCCGCTATGACCTTTATGTTGTCCATCCTAAAAATTCGGTTTTGTGCCACCACAGGTGCAAGTGATCAGTTTGTATAACTTCAGCAGTTTACATATCTATCCTCCAATGCGCATTTAAATACACCAGTCAATACGGTCGTTATCTTCCGTCATGCAGATAAGAGTCATGACTAAGAGATTTATTTGATATTCACATGCGCATATTCTGTTTATGAACAATAAACAAAACAGCCAAAGTGGTGCTTTACTCATGGGACTAATTATTAAAAGAATTATTTTGCGTTTGAACAATTAAACGACCCGTTCCTTTTGTGTAATGCGTGTACTTACGTCACAATCTCGAAGTGATCAAAGAATGTTTAATTATTTTCCTTGTTGCGCAAAAACACTGTTATAATGAAAAAGCGACGTTACTTGTGGATTGAGAGACCGAAAAAACATCGTGGCCGCGCCTAGCAAAATGTAGGTTAGCTCGGTCAGTTTTCTGTTTGTGNTGTGGGGGGGGGGGGGGGGGGGGGGGGGGGGGGGTTGGAACTCCCTCGCTTAGTGTTATTAATTGCGAACACAAGTAGGATGGGTAGATACAATATATCCCGCCCTGTTTCTGTTAGCCAAGGTTTTTTGCTAGGAATGGAGACAGGAGCCGATTGAGGGAGATTATTCCTTTTACCGTGGAGACTAGTTCTATAGAAATTGAATTATTGAAAAAAAAAAAAAAAGATGAACTGTCGATGGTTGAGTTGGGATTTATTCTTCCCTCAGGCCATTTTTGTAGCGCGCGTGAAATTATGACTCTTAAAATTGTTTAACATTTTACGCTACATTACACTGCGCTACTCAGCAGTTTGACGTATTTCGGACCTTGATTTCTTGCGACATCATCAAAATCACGTCAATCTAATTTTTTTTAATCAAGATAATTTTATTGGATCCGCCTTTGCAATTTTGGCACCCGTATTTACACCCCGGTCTGTTTCCTGATGTATTCTCAAAATTCGTCGTACCATGAAATCCCTGCAATAAATTACGGTGACGATGCATTTGGAGGGCAAGATTTTGTATTTGTTCCAGCCCACGTTTTCCCGGAAAAAATCGGATAACACACGCCAAAAGTCACGTTAGTGTTGCGCTTTATACTCGGTATCAAGAAGTAACAGTGGTCTTCATATAGTTCTATATATCCTGGCATTTCATCCCTGTTTCTAATACTTTTTTAAAAATAGCTTTTTAAAAAACCTTTGGTGATTAATATCGTGGGATTAAGGAGTGTTTAAAAAAGGAAAATTACATGCTCTGATATTCTGGTTACTATAATAAGTTGAGGATGAAGCCCATTGCCTCCCGGAAGGCATGTGCGAACATTAACGTTTTTTAGTATAGCAGTTCACATTTACTTAAATATTTGCTGCAAGCTAAGATCATAGCGTCGTTTTCCAGGAAAATTTTCCTTAAAATTTACAATTTCTTACCCTGCGAGCAATGGTTTCTCCAGGCCCGGCCGCTAAGCTACGAGGGGAGAGAAACCACTGCAAGCAACCGTATGCTTTTACATCGCGCATGCGTGTCCACGTGACGTATACGTCAAAACGTCAAATGACATCACTTGCTCTTGTTTCGCAGGTAACATAAGGGACTTTAAGATCCAACGACGCGAAGGCAACGAGAACGTTAGAAAAACAATAGGTGCGGTCACACTAGCAATTTTACAGATGGGCAAATGCAGGAGCCCATCAAAAATGGGCTCCTGCCATGACAGATAAAAAAACCCAAAGCGGCTCAACCAATCACGAAAATTCGGCAGGATTTTCAGCACTTCTGTGAATGTTTTTCGGGTTTTTACGTGAAATAAATTGAAACATTCGTAAGTTTTCTTTAAATCAATGTTTAAGAATTCCTTTCTTATGAAGTCGTTAAAACCATTTTAGTAAACCCCGGGTGAGAGAAGATTGGGGTTAGGTTGAGGCGCGCTTGATGTCGTGGAAAGAGACGAAGGAATAATAGCGACTGCGTGGCAGAGTTCGGGGATATTTTCTCCTCGCCCCTTCCCATGAGTCCCCACGCGCCTCAACCTAACCCCAGTTTTCTCTCACCTCAAAAACACATAAATAGCGACTGGGTTCGAGTCTGCTGCACAACTACAACGTGAAACTCAGTTTGTGACGTTTTCTAAAGGACGTTATCACTCGACATTCGACAAATTTTCTTTCTCTTTTTAAAGTTTTAAAATGTGCTACCTAAGGAAAGCTCACTAGTCTTCGTGTAAACAGGCTTTAAAACACGTCAACTGACGTCAGTTCTTTCTAGTCTTCACTATAAAAACGAAAGATACTGAATAATAAGAATTTCAACTGTGTGACAACGAATTATCGTCTCCATAAAAAAACCTTTAATTTTGTTAGGGATTAAATAAACCTGCCCAAAATCTCACCATTAGGTGACACTGGCCTGAAAACTGGAATCGTCAATATTAAACCATAACATGCGTTTCCATTTCTGACAGTTATTTAGTCATTTAGCTATAGTTTCAAGTTTTTATGATTAGGTTACGTGATTAACTAATGACAAAGACAATGATAAATCTCTTGGTTTATAAGTAAGTTGGGCTCGACTATTTAACATGAAATATAATCATTTTCAGTTGATGATGATCCAATTGTAGTTACCGAGCAATCTGTCGCGAGGAAGCTTCGTGAGGTCAGCACTTCTCGTGCGAGTGGCCCGGACGAGATTCCAAACTGGGTCCTAAAGGAATATGCTGATATCTTTGCAGTGCCCATTGCTGTCATCTTGAACGCCTCTTTCTCTGAAGTCAGTGTACCTCGTGTATGGAAACTGGCCGATGTTCCACCGCTACCCAAAGCGCCAATTGTCTCTGAATTCTTCTCGATCGTTTAGCCAACGGACATTATTTCCTCCTTGGCTAAGATTCATCTCCCGAAGAGTTACTTTTCCATGATTTGCCGCTATGACCTTTATGTTGTCCATCCTAAAAATTCGGTTTTGTGCCACCACAGGTGCAAGTGATCAGTTTGTATAACTTCAGCAGTTTACATATCTATCCTCCAATGCGCATTTAAATACACCAGTCAATACGGTCGTTATCTTCCGTCATGCAGATAAGAGTCATGACTAAGAGATTTATTTGATATTCACATGCGCATATTCTGTTTATGAACAATAAACAAAACAGCCAAAGTGGTGCTTTACTCATGGGACTAATTATTAAAAGAATTATTTTGCGTTTGAACAATTAAACGACCCGTTCCTTTTGTGTAATGCGTGTACTTACGTCACAATCTCGAAGTGATCAAAGAATGTTTAATTATTTTCCTTGTTGCGCAAAAACACTGTTATAATGAAAAAGCGACGTTACTTGTGGATTGAGAGACCGAAAAAACATCGTGGCCGCGCCTAGCAAAATGTAGGTTAGCTCGGTCAGTTTTCTGTTTGTGTCTAGACATAAATTTCTTTTGTTGTACCATGGTTAACACCGATGCTCGTTCGACCGTTAAAGCCCCGAGGCTTCATCATTTACTATTGTCAGCGTGTTCAAGCAAGAGTCTCATCAAGAAAGCTGCGGCCAAAACCGCAGAGAACAGCAAGTGAAAGAGATGAACATAGTATTGAATTAAATTTCACTAACCATTGCGGCTTATCGTTTAAATTGCACTCGATGCGATTATATGAGTGAGACTTCAGATAATACAGCTAAAATCATCGTCTATATTGTTGGGAGGGGGTGGGGTAGTTGGGACAACCTCTCATTTTATTAATCGCGAAGACAAGTAGGATGAGTAGATACAATATATCCCCGCCCTGTTTCTGTTAGCCAACTTTTTTGCTGGAAAGGGAGACAGGAGCCGATTAAGGGAGATTATTCCTTTTACCGTGGAAACCAGTTCTATAGAAATTAAATTATTGGGAAAAAAAAAAGAGGAATCTGTCGATGGTTGAGTTGGGATTTATTCCTCCCTCAGGCCATTTCTTGTAGCGCACATGAAATTAATTGTTTTACGCAACATTACACTGCGCTACTCAGCAGTTTTACGTATTCTTGCGATATCATCAAAATCACGTCAATCTAATTTTTTAACGAGGATAATTTTATTGGATCCGCCTTTCCAATTTCGGCATTCGTTTTACACCCCGGTCTCTTTCCTGATCTATTCTCAAAATTCGTCGTACCATGAAATCCCTGCAATAAATTACGGTGACGATGCATTTGAAGGATTTGTTCCAGCCCACGTTTTACGGAAAAAATGGGATAATACACGCCAAAATTCGCGTTAGTGTCGCGCTTTATACTCAGTAGCAAAACATACAGTGGTCTTCATTTAGTTCTATATATCCTGGCATTTCTTCCCTGTTTCTAATGCTTTTTTAAAAATAGCTTTTTTTAAAACCTTTGGTGAGATTACGGAGTGTTTAAAAAGGAAAATTACATGCTCTGATATGCTGGTTCTATAATAAGTTGAGGATTGATTAAGCCCATTGCCTCCTGGAAGGCATGTGCGAACATCAACATTTTTTATTATAACAGTCCTTATTTATTTCAAAATTTGCTGCAAGATCATAACATCATTTTTTTCCAGGAAAATTTTCCTTAAAATTTACAATTTCTTACCCTTTCTCCAGGCCGGGCCGCTAAGCTACGAAGAATGGTGTTAGCCCATGGGGAAGCACTTTTTTTGTGGGTGCCCGATTTCACTAAGGTGAAATTGCCTCGGGCAAGTTTCCATGGATACGTCAAAACGAACAAAAGAATTACCCATGACAGGTAATAAAAAAACCAAAGCGGCTCAACCAATCACGAAAATTCGGCAAGATTTTGAGCACTACTGTGAATGTTTCGCGGGTTTTTACGTGAAATAAATTCATAAAAGCTAACTGAAACACTCGTAAGTTTTCTTTAAATCAGTGTTTAAGAATTCTTTTCCTATGAAGTCGTTAAAACCATTTCAGTAAACTCGTACTTTTGAGGTGAGAGAAGATTGGGTTAAGTTGAGGCGCGCTTAGAGACGTGGAA